TGCTCACCCGGTAAACCGAGAGGCCCCAATGACAGGCTCCTCCTGGTAAGGAATTCTAAACTGTTCTGCAGTTGGAAAAGGGCCCATAAAAAAATACCGAAAACCCTGAACCCTAAACGCTAAACCCCTCAATCCTAGACCCCAAACCCTTGGAGCCTTTGAAAGTTCGGAGGCACTGATGTTCTTGAGCCAGCTCGAGCAGGCTAGTCGTCCAGGTTTAAGGAAGCCTATAAGTACTTGTCGTATTGTAATTCCAAAGTAGGGTTTAGGGTTTAGGGCTTAAGGGTTTAAAGGGTTCAGAGTTTAGGGTTTAAGGGTTTAGGGTTTAGGGCGATTGGGGTTTATAGGGGCCTTAATGATTACCTATACTATTTTGGGGGCTCCTTATCATAATTATAGTATACTGGGCCCCAAAACCTTATTCTAAGTATTACGGGCCCCAACATTAATCCCAAAGTAGTCCATAAGGTTAACCCTTAGTTCCTCTAGGATACTGGACAAGTAAGAGGAACAGCGTCGTTTATAAGGCTTTGGAGAGGTCCATAGTGTTGCCGCGCGAGTTTTCTAAGGATCAGGGTCAGGGTTCATTGGGGTTCAGGGTTCAGTTGCCTTGCGTTTTGAGTTTGGGGGTTTAGGGAAGTTGGGGGATCTATTTTGCGGTCTGTGCAGGGCGGGTTTAGGGTTCAGAGTTTAGTTTAGGGTTCAGGAATTCTGAATCATGGCCGCCATGGTGCTGTCATTGGGGCATAGGCCCAATGTCTTTTAGTACTTCCTGGGATTGAAGTGTGCTTTGAAGCTCATGCCGTAATGTCATGAGAAGCCTACAAGCTCCGTCCATTTCAGGGTTTAGGGGTTTAGGATTTTGGGTTTAGGGGTTTAGGTTTAGGGGTTTAGGGTGTAGGAGTTTAGGGTTTAGGGGTTAGGGGTTTAGGGTTTACGTGCAATTCTGTCTGCTAGGCCCGCACCTGAAGGACACCAAGGTAGATTCCTTTCTGAGGGCGTGGTGGCCGTTCTAGGGCTTGAGAAGGGCAAACTGTAAATCCGACGTCCGTCATATTCCTCCTAAACCCTGAACCCTAAACCCTAAACCCCAAACCCTAAACCCTAAACCCTAAACCCTGAACCCTTGACCGTGCTAAACCCTGCCTGGAAGACTAGATGTCCTCTTTAAAGAACGTTTCTGCGCCGAAACAACGGCGTCTTATTTTAAGGGGCGTTTCAAATGACTCTTGAAAATCGGCATGTTGAGCATTCGCAAAAAGTTTTCGTTGCAAAGTGAGCAAAATTACCGGTCTCACCGAAAACAGTGATATCTGACTTGCCGAGCTTTCAAAAAAGGTTTCGTTGCTTTAAGTGAAAGCTTCACCGTGCACAGGGAAATCTGACGTGCCGAGCATTCGCAAAATTTTCGTTCTAAAGTGAGTCGAAAATTGCCAGTTTCCCCGTGCACAGGGAACTCTGGCGTGCCGAGCATTCACAAAAAGTCGCTGCCATGTGGATATTAATGACCGGTCTCACCGTGTACAGGGAAATCTGACGTGCTGAACAGTCACACAACATTGCTGCCACAAGGCTTTTTAATGACCCGGTCTTGACGGGAAACTGGTGATTCCTGTTTTTGTGTTTTCAAACGACCCTCAAAATGCTAAATCACCATTAAATTTCAAATGTCCCCTCAGTAAGGTGCCCATTTTGGTGTTGGGGTCCTTTTGAGGCCACATCTTCCATGTGGACCCCAAATCCCTATTATCCGTGACAATCACTAATTGATAAACCCTACCTAAACCCTTGTGCTGCCCTTAACCCTAAACCCTAAACCCTAAACCCTAAACCCTAAAACCCTAAACCCTAAACCCTAAACCCGAACCCCTGAAAGGACCCCTTAAAGGAACCCTTCGGGCCCACAGCCCCTCCTACGTCGAAGGCCCAGCTGCAGAGCACCGTCGTTTCCTTCAGCGCCGCCATCAGCGCCTGCGAGCAGGCAACGGTGCTGCCGGAGAAGCCGGTATGGACTGCATCTTTAGGTAGTATTATTAGGGGTACCCCTTAAAGGGTACCCCTTCTGAACCCTACTTTTGGCTCTCTTAAAGGGGATCTTATTGAGAGGGTCTATATCCCCAAGGGTCCCCCTAATCCTAGCTCCCAATCTTACGGTTCACACGAAGGGTTCCCAAGTAGTGTATACTTTGGCCCCAAAGTACCTATATAGGGACTACTTTAAGGCCAAAGTATATACTATTTGGGTACATGGACTCTTAGGGTGAGGATCCATATATACTACTATTATGGAATTAGGTCCCCAAAACCATAATAAGGATTGTCTTTATTGGGACCTAATTCCATAATGCTTATGGTTCAGGCTTCAGGGTTTAGGGACAAAGTGGTGTAGGGTGCATCATGCTGTAGGGGCAGTAATAATCAGCACCGGGTTTTGCGCTTGTGTCATAGGTTAATTTTGATTTCATTTTGTTCTGACATTGTTTACTTGCAACATTCGGGAATCTGAGGAATCGCTTGATTGATTATTTCCGACCGGGCGGCGAAGCTGAAAGATAAGTCGAAGCGAAATTGGGGTCCCCCTTTGGCCTTGCAAGCTTCACCTCTCGAAGCCCATACTTCCTGGACCTCGAATTAAATCCTAAGCTCGCGGTAGCAGGCCCTACACACTCAGCCCTCAAAAGTATGCCTATTATTATTATTATTATTCTTATTCTTATTCTTATTCTTATTATTATTATATATATAGGGTTTAGGGTTTAGGGTTTAGGGTTTGAAGGCTTTACCTTGCTTTTGGGATTGCAGTTTCAGCAAGCTTGAGGTCTAGCTTCTACCCGAGTCCAAGCCTAAACCCTGAACCCAAACCCTGAACCCTACTTAAAGGATCATGGGACTTAGTAAGTAGGGTTATAATCAAGGTAACTATACTTAGAATTACTTATAACCCCAATTAAGGTACTTATAACCCTACTTACTAAGTCCCATGATCCTCCAAGTAAGGTTTTCTAAACCCCAAACCCTGAACCCTGAACCCTAAACCCCTAATGCCAGGTCCAAAGCTGGCACGTCGTGATCGGGCTGCTAGCAGCACTTCGGCGACGTGGCACTGAGCCCAATGCAACACAGAGGCAACTATTTAAGGACCCAAAAAGCACATAAGCATAAGCATTTTATAGGGATATCCCTACCTTATCGGGCTTCATTATAAGGGGGTTTATATGGGATATCCCTATCCTAATTTTTGCTTATGTGCTTTTTTGGGGCCCTAATTATGGTGAGAGTTCGGTTCGTGGTTGCGCCTGGAGTTCAAGTTCTGGCATCAAGGGGTCCAAGGTAGGTTATCGCTTTGCAAGAGCTTCTCTTGTGGGTTTTCGGTTAGTAAGGCCCGACCTTATTGGCATAGTTTAGCTTTCAGGGCTTCTGAATGTCGTTGAACTGCACCTCAGCAGTACGTGCCTTCTGGTGCCAAGCCGAGGAGGCTTTTGGGTTTAGGGCTTAGTGCAACACCCTAAACCGTAAACCCTAAACCCTAAACCCCTAAACCCCTAAACCCCTAAACCCCCAAACCCCCAAACCCCCCAATACCTCAACTGTCGTGTGTAGGGTTCGGACAGGTGGAGGTTTTCAATGCCTCCCTAAACCCTAAACCCTAAACCCTAAACCCTAAACCGAGGTCATCAGCTACAGCGCCGCTGTGAGTGCTTTCGAGAAAGCTAGCCGTTGGTGTGAGGCGTTTGGGGTCCTAGGTCTTGGGTTCAAGGGTTTGAGGCTTTTCAGGGTTTGGGTTTAGGGTTCAGGGTTCTGGACCAGGGACGAGTCAATGGGTTTTCTCTAGTGTTGTTGGCTGGGTTTAGGGTCCTAGTGTTTTGGTCCAGGGTTTTGGGGTTTTACAGTCTTAAAGTAGAAGTGCCTAGGGAGTTGAAGGTTCAGGGGTCGCGCAATTGGGATTGGGAGTTGTTGTCTTTTGATGCCCAAATAACCCAAGCCTCATTTAGGATTTAAGTTTTAGAAGGCTACGACTATGTGCAAGGGTTTGAATTCCGCACATTTAGCAGTTAAGGATTTTATCGAAGAGGTCAGGTGCAATCAGGCAAACTCGTGTTGGGAAAGTGTGTTTATTTACTGCAAGCATCAGCTATGCGGAGGTACATTTGACAACACTTGCTTTTTCGTCCCAAATGCCCTAAACGCTAAACCCTAAAATCTGATTGAGGACCTGCTTCCTAGAAGTGCTTCGAGAACAAATCCCCACTAGACAAAATCAATGTCTATTATCACTCATCCGGGGAACCCGATATATTTCCTTCAAAGAGCGTTCCATTTACTACTCCTCCGATCACAAAAATACTGTTGATGATATAAACCATGCATTACCTTAAGGACCCTAAAACATTGGGGAATTACGGTATATTCCTTTTATGGGTAATGCAGGACCCTAAGGGTCCAAGTGCCCAAATAGTAGGGTTTCAAGGTCCAAAAACCATTCAGGGTGTGGATTTTGGGACCTAAAACCTTACTATTTCGGTACTCGGACCCTCTGGGGGATGTATATCATCAACAGTACTACGAACCCGAAGCCCCATGCAGGTTGATATTTAGGGTTTAGGGTTTAGGGTTTAGGGTTTAGGGTTTAGGGTTTAGGGTTTAGGGTTTAGGGTTTAGGTACTCCTTGACTACGCGCTCGTCGGTGTTCGGGGGGCCTTCTGAATGCATTGCCTCTTACCATAGTATAGGGGCCTAGATATTTACCAATACTATTTTGGGGGTTGCTTAATATAAATATAGGATAATGGGCCCCAAAACCCTATTCTAATTTTTTAAGGCCCCTACAGGTTAGAACGCTCTTATAGTAGATCCCGTATAGATCCCTTTACAGGAACCCTTTAAGGATCCCTTTTAAACGAACCCTATTCTAATTATTTGGGCCCCTTACCCTACCAGTTTTCGGGGTCCAGGAAGGCGATCAAACCGGTAGCCCAGTGTCCATGTACTACGGTTGATGTTAAAATATCCTGCATTGCCCATACGAAGGAATCTACCGTAATTTCCCATAGTTTTAGGGCCCTGAAAGTAGTGCGGGATTTATATCATCAACAGTAGTTGTAGTGTTTAGGGTTGAGGGCTTAGAGTTTTATGCGCCCAAGGCCATTCCGGGTCGTGTACTTCCCTAGGCTTTCTGGGTCCTCTGGCGCAGGTTTTGCAGCTCATCACGGAGATGCGCGACCAGAACTTACAGCCAAATGTGCGGGCCTCCATCATCTCGGGCTACCCTGGTAGAACTAGGTTCCTGAGAAGTACCCCGTTTAGGGTTTAGGGTTTAGTACCCCTAAGGGTCCAAAGGACCCAACAATAAGGTACTTTGATTGCGGATAGTAGTTATTTAGGTTAATATTTGGGAGAGTATATGATTATTAGGTACTTGGACCCTTAGGGTACCCTTTTGCCCTCTTTATTGTATGGCCCCCTTATTCAATCTGATTAACAGGAAGAAGGGAGAACCTTTATTATTTAGGGGTCACTCAGGAACCTAAGAAGCCTGAATACCTATGCTAGGTAGATTCATGAGGCTAACTACTGTCTCGCAGATGCTTCGCAGCCTAACGTTTACCTGACGTAACCCTGAGCAGACCCTGATCCTACTCTTCATCCGGTATTTCCTGAGGGTCCATGTACCCAAATAGTACCTACATTGGCCCCAAAGTACTTCTATAGGGACTACTTTAAGGCTAAAGTATATCTATTTGGGTTAGGGTTACACCCCATTACCTCATCCGACAGTACTGCTGTGGCTGGCCCCCTTTCTGAGCTCGCTCTTTCCTAAACCCTAAACCCTAAACCCAAAATCCGCAGCCCCGACCTAGACCCTGAAGATCCCGCTGAAAGTGCCGGTTTTGGACTTCGGTGTAAGCCACATCTGGTAGAGAAAGTCGAGGTAGCCAATCAAAAGAAGTCACTCTAAACCCTAAACCCTAAACCCTAAACCCTAAAACCCTAAACCCTAAACAGTTCATAATCTGGGACTATCCAGGGTCCGAGAACTGGAGAGTTGGCTCAGGGTCAAAAGTTTTTTGGACACGGTAGTTCTCTAAATTAGGGTCCCGTTTTGGGCCCCCAATATAAAAAGGACCCCAAAAAAGGACCCTGTTTTAGAGAACTACCCATGTACTTAGCTACAGCCTCTAGGTTTGGGATTTGGGGTTTAGGTGTTCAGGGTCATGGATGATATGTCTGAGTCGCCTCTTTGGTACATGTACTTCTACAACAGTCAACAGACAGCTAAATCCTGAGACCTACACCCCTAAACCTTAAACCCTAAACCCTGAACCTTAAACCCTAAACCCTGAACCCCACACCGCCCCTAAATCCTAAACCCTATAAACCCTACACCGCTAAAACAAAGTAAAATAACCCTGAACCTGAAAACTGTCACAAACCCTAAGCCCTAAACCGTGAAAAGTGTCCCAGGTCATCACATACACTTCTGCTCTGGGTGCATGCGACGTGTCCCAGCGATGGGAGCAGTCACTGTGGCTCCATCAGGACGGTTTAGGGTTTAGAGTTTAGGGTTTAGGGTTTAGGGTTTAGGACAGCTTGCTTGGGGCTGCAGGGGTTTTTAAGGGTTTAGGGTTTAGGGCTTTTAGGGTTAAGGGTTGAGGTTTTGGTCGTTTCGGCTTTAAGAAAAGCCCTCAAAGTAGCCTTATTCTTATCGGCAGGATCTCAATGCATGCCGAGATGCCTGGGACACGACTCTGGAAGAGACCAACGTTGAGGGTATACCTCTACGCACCAGAGGCTCGGTGTTGTGTTTGCTTGTTTCGCTTCGGCGGAGACGTCGGTATCATATATAGTATAGTGGTACTATACTATATAGAATATCAGAGGGTCGAAGGTGATTGCCGCCAGCAAGCCCGAGTTTTCGCTGGGTGGGGTAGTCTTGGCAAGGAAGTTGCGAAGCCAGCTGCTGACACATGCACTCATTTCGGGGATACCTGCACAAGCAAAGTAAAGAACAAGAAACCACCGAGCCAGGTGTCTGCGTAGAGGCATGGCCTCAACATTGGTCTCTTCCAGAGTTGTGTCCCAGGTACTTCTGCGTGCATTTCTTTTTTACGGATAGGAGAGCCTTGAGGGTGGGACGTTTCTTCTTCAGTTTTTGAAGGCATTGGGTTTACCCTAAGAACCCAAAGCCCACTTTTTTGTAGGTTCTTATTATAAACCCTAATATGGGATTTATAGGGACCCTACAAAAAAGTAGGTTTTGGGTTCTTAAGGTAGAGTTTAAGGGTTTACGGTTGAAGGCTTTGGGTCGGGCTTCAATTTTCCCACTGCGAGGTTAGCAACCGTTGTTAGTTCTGGTCTGAATGTGGGACTTTCCGCAAATTAGGGGTACCTTATTTTGGGGTCCTTATAATAAGGATCCTATTATTTGGGGTACTATATTAGGGTCCCCTATTTTCGGAAACCCCCATGTTGGAGTTCGTCAGCATTTCTCTCTTTGGGCACTTCAGGCACAAGGTACAGGACACTTACGCTTTTAGTGTTCTGTTCTTTTCATATAGCTAAGCCCCACGGAATTCAACAACGTAAAGTTTTTCATTATGGCTATGAGATACGCCTAGCGACCAGTAAGAAGCCGTCTTCCATGGTGTCACTACCGTCACAAGCGCTGTATGCGCTGTATGCTCTATCGGACTTTTTCATTTTCTGAATTCCTAAAATGTTCTAGCGATTCTCGGGCTCGGCTTGACATCCAGCCTATCTCCTTCTTCACCCATCATTTGAGAGGTCTGAATCAATTATAGATATAGCCCTCTATAATGCTATGATTTTATAGAGCATACCAGACTTCAATAGTGCACCCCCGTAAATCTGAGTTGTAGTAAACAGTTCAGGCCCTATCCCTACGGGTCCAAGTACCTAATAATCATATACTCTCCCGAATATTAATCTAGATAACTACCATCCGCAACGAAAGTACCTTATCATTGGGTCCTTTGGACCCTAAACCCCTAAACCCTAAACCCTGAACCCCCGTAAGTCTGATTTGTAGTAAACAGTTCGGGCCCTGTTGACTTTTAGTAGTTGTCCCGGAAGTGCTGCAGGTTCCCCCTCCGCTTCAGATGCAGGATACCTACCTATAGTCTCCATTGTAGTTCCTTTTTGGGGATACCTTATAAAATCCTTAATATATAATTGGTTAAACCAAAAAAGGAACTACAATGGAGACTATAGGTAGGTACTCGAGTTGATTGCCATGTCTTTTGTCGGCGATTTCCATGGGAAGGTTATCCGGCATGATTCCCCACTTCTGGGTCTATAAATATCCGGCAACCACAGATGGCTTCACTGAGCCCCCAACCTTAGGTAGCCAATGGGAAACTTTAGACTTTTTTGCCGTGTATAGTTGGTCTCTCTTAGAGAGCTTTAAGCTTTTTTTGAGGGCCCAGTTATTGAAGAAGAGAGGAACCCCGACTTAAAGGATCATGGGACTTGGTAGCTAGGGTTATAAATAAGGTATCTATACCTATAACTACTGAAAAACCCAATTAAGGTACTTATAACCCTACTTACTAAGTCCCAGGATCCTCCAAGTAAGGTTTTCTAAACCCTAAACCCTGACCAACCTCCAAGTAAGGCCTACGCCGTATATGCCCAAACCCTAAACCCTAAACCCTAAACCCTAAACCCTAAACCCTAAACCCTAAACAGCTGCTGCAGGACATGCTCAGGGCGGCCCTGGCTCCGGATGTGCCCTTGGAAGACATTGGCCCAAAGGGTCCATGTATTCCCATACCCTTAGCATCAAAACAGCCCAAAAGCCTTACATAATAGGGTCTTTGGGCCCAGAAGCCTTACAATATGAGTCCTTAGAGGGTAAAGGATAGTATAGACTTTGATCTTAAAGTCGTTCCTATATTGATACTTTTGGGGGCCTATGTCTATACTATGTATGCAAACTTAGCCCCTTAGGGTGATGTATTGCGACTATTATGCAATTTGATAGTAAGGGTCGTCTTTCGGAGCCCAATTCCATAATCATAAGGGTGGTATATATGGACACTCTGGGCTGGTACAGGCAGAGCCATACCTAGAGATATCTGATCTTCCGAGTGTGGGACAGGGCAGGTTCTTCTGTGTATATATATATATACAATCTATGTATGTATATATATATATGTATATATATATATATATATTATACAGTAATGTGTATGTATGTATGTATGTATGTATGTATATATATATATATATATATTCCCAAAAGCCCAGTCTAACAGTTCCCAGGACGCCGAAGCCCAGCCTCAGTCATTGCGTCGTGTATCGGGTTTCGGGTTTCAGGGTTTGCCTTTACCCTCTAAGGACTCATATTGTAAGGCTTTTGGGCCCAAAGACCCTATTAGATAAGGCTTGTGGGCTATTTTGATGCTAAGGGTTAGGGTTTCTTGACAGCGGGGCTGATAACCTGCTGCGGATTGTCAGGCTTAAGAGTTCCAGCTGCGTAATCGTCACATACCCCCAAATACCAGCCTATGCTACCGCTATCCTAGAAACCGTAATAGGGCTTTGCGTAATAGGGTACCCTCAATAGTAGGATCCTTATTATAAGGACCCCAAAATAAAGTACCTCCTGTTTTCGGAAACTCCCCTTTGGGGACTTACATTCCAACCAATCATTCCCCACGTATTCATATCAGGCAGACTGCTGCACTCCCCCCGCGCTATGAGTTGCCGTCAACAGTTTGTAGGACCTTGTTAAGAGAAAGACCTCATGCCATGTTGCCAATGGTCATTGACAGAAAGGCTGTCGGGTTCAGGGTTTGGGGCTCATACAACGAGCATGGCCACGGCTCATCTAGATTCTGCTCCCTAGAATAAGTTCTAAACCCTAAACCCCTCACCCCCCAAACCCTAAACCCCTGAGCCATCATGAACCCCTAAACCCCAAACCTCAGCGACCCGAAACAAGCAAAAGCTGAGGTGCTCGTGCACAATGCCACTTCCCTGTCCTTGGAGAAAGGCCAGCAGCGGCCATCGGCTCGGAACAAGGTCGGCATCCACACGATTGGGTTTAGGGTTTAGGGTTTAGGGGTTTAGGGTTTAGGGTTTAGGGGTTTAGGGGTTTAGGGTTTAAGATCGGAA